TATATATATATATATATATATATATATATATATATATATATATATATATATACTTGAGATTATATGAGATCAAAGGTTTTTCATGAGACCCGTAAGACCAATTCTCAACCCTTGGATTAGATCTACAATCTGAACATTCATGATCATAAAATTGTCACGAGACTTCTCAATAATCACAAAATTGTCATCGTGCAACTTTAAATCACTAGCTTATAAAGTTGATCAATGAACATACATTGGTCTTACAGGTCTCACGAAAAACCTTTGGTCTCACGTGAACCTAACCCTACACACACACACACATATATATATATATATATATATATTAAAGTATAATAATTAATTTACTAAACTTAAAGTAAACAAAATTAAAAAAAAATTAAGATTAAATTACAGAATTGGTCTCCATGGTTTGTGTGATTTTACGATATTAGTCCCTTAAGAAAAGACAAAAAAAAAAAAAAAAGCTCTCAAGGTTAACGGATTAACCGGATGGTCGTTAGAATGAAGGACCACCTCGTCACAAAACAACACACCACGAGTCTTTATCTGTAATAAATTAAGTTTAAGGACCAAGTTCATACAAACCACCAAACCTTAGGAATCAAATCCGTAACTAACACTAATAAATTAATTAATTTTATTAAAACAATTTTTTTTATAATATATAAATAAATATGTTGAAGATCTCTAAATAATATTTTATTTAAAATTTACCCATTCATAAAAATTACTAATAAAATAGTAATTGATGCAATTAATTCATGCAATTAAGCTCCCCAGTTTCCATATGACGCATCCGCACCCTCACCAAACCTTCTCTCTTCGTTCAGACACTTTTTTTTTCCATCTTTCCGACCATCAGCTAAAACCTAGGGTTTCTGATTTGCTCTCTGTTCTAAAATTCCACCATTGTTGCTCTGCACTCCTGCATATTCTCCTTCTTTCCGCCATTTTCTTCAACTTTTCAACCTCCGATTTCAAACATTTTCACACTCTTTTCTCAACATTTTTGTCTTCAATTTTGCATCGATCACTGTTGCTTCAGCTCAAGGTTTTTAATGGCGAAGACGAAACCCGGGAAGAAAGATTTAGATTCCTACTCTATCAAGGGCACCAACAAAGTCGTTAGATGTATATCTTCTTTCTCTCTACATCTCCCTCTTTACATAGATATGTTTGTGTGTGCCTGTGTGTTACAGTGTGTGTGTATATATATATACCAAGCAAACACTCGGAATCTTGGTTGTTGACTGTTTGTGGACTTGTTTAACTGCTAGAATTGTGGACACACAAATGATGCTGGGAAATGGGAATGTACTTTTTTTGTTTAATAGCCATGAATCGTGTTTGTGTAGCTATATATATATATATATGTATGTATGTTTATGTTAGGTTAAAGACGTTGATTTTTTGGGAGCTTTGACAGTGCCTTCGACTTGTTTTGGCAGCTGGGGATTGTGTTTTGATGAGACCGGCTGATTCGGATAAGCCTCCCTATGTGGCACGAGTGGAGAAGCTTGAGGCTGATCACCGGAACAATGTGAAGGTTAGGGTTAGGTGGTATTACCGGCCGGAGGAGTCAATTGGAGGGAGGAGGCAATTTCATGGTGTTAAGGAGCTGTTTTTGTCTGATCATTACGATATGCAGAGTGCACATACGATCGAAGGGAAGTGTATAGTTCATTCTTTTAAGAACTACACAAAGCTCGACAATGTTGGTACCGAGGACTATTTCTGTCGCTTTGAATACAAGGCTGCTACTGGGGGTTTCACCCCTGATCGTGTTGCTGTGTGAGTCCTCTTTTGATTTCTGCCATCTAGAATTAGGTGCTATAAAGTAATAATTGTTTTTTTTTGATATATGAAGGTACTGCAAGTGTGAGATGCCCTACAACCCGGATGATTTGATGGTGCAATGTGAAGGATGCAAGGACTGGTATATCTTGTTACGGTCCTTTTAATTTGTCAACAATTACATGCTAAAAGGCTCTGACATGCAGAAAAAAATGCTATACACACACTTATCTTAGATTGCTAAGGATAAAAAAGAAAATTTTCTTTTTTGCTACCCCTAACCATGCTACAGACAATGAAGTAGGACAAAATACATTCTTGAAAATCTTGTATACAAAATGGTTATATCTAGTCAACTATAATTCTACTAGTGTAGCTATGATATCATTGCCATAATAAGAAAACTTACCCTACAACCGTTAGTACATAATTTTCATGTACGCAAGTAGTTCACTAGATAGTTGCTTGAAGAGAAAAAGAAACAAAACCATTTCCTTAACAGTGACGTATACGATTAAACCTTCTATTTTGCAAAGGTGGTTCTGCTTTGCTTAAATACCTAGTCATTAAAACCCTGAAAATTTTAAATTCCATATTGTTTACTTAGAAATAATATAACAAATCTTCTGTATACGGTTTTTAGTTCTGCATGAGAATTATTGCCCAATACGGTTGTTTCTTTCTTTACGTGTTGGTTTGTAAAGTTCTTCTCTATTACTCTACAATATCAATTCTGAATATTAGCTGTACGTTGCAGGCAATATGATAATAGTTTCAATATTCTCCATGCTTCTTATTTAGCGTATTGCTTCTTATAAATCAAGCTTTCAGACCATCCTAGATCATCAAACATAACTTTTCAGGTACTACCACTGAAAAGTCGTGGTTATACATTTGAACCTTGAAGATCTCGACTATCTTGGCAAGATAGTCAATCATGATGACCAAGGGATCCCCTGTTGCTTTTGATATGCTTTTAGAAAGGCCAACACATCATGAGTTGAAGTATTGTTGCTTTGTAGAACAGTCAGCTTCGCTTCACTTCTGAATATAGGACAGAAAATGGCTTCTTGTTGCTGTTTTAGGAACTCTAAGAGTTTAAGGGAATGAATGCTTACCCTTCCCTCTTTTATACGTACATAAGATAATGTATTTTACTTTTACCTTCCTATATTTCCTTCTTCCAACAGTCCCATGAGTCTATATTTGTTTATTAAAATTAAGAAATTCTAATGACAAGGTAAGATGAATGCACCGAGGGAATGAAGATATGATAAACTACTTAACTGGGAAGCGATCAAGAAACCAATAATATTTTCCTAATAGAGCATTAAGCTGCTCTTTTGCCCAAAAACTAAAAAGCTTACTTATCAGGGGCCCCACCTTCCTTATTTGCCAATATTAGTTACCAATTCTGTGATGGTTTCATATGTTTGAGTGTTTGCATCTGGAACAATAATAGTAAATGTAGGACTGGTCAGTACAGTGTTTCTTTGTGTATGTATTCTTCAGTTTTGGGTATTGAGTGGTAAAAGTTTTCACATATTACGGCTATAATATATTCTCATCATCAACTGGTTATATAGGTAGTGCTTTATCAATTAATTATGATCCATAGCTATTTATATCTTAGCAATGTCTTATAATTCTGTATGTTGTGAATATAATCTTGTATGCTATGGGTGATTGTTCTATTATATTACCCTTTGTAGAGAGATGCGATCACATTGTCTTGATTAGCATATCTAAGTGAATTCTTCTATACGCACATCTTGTTTTATTGTAGGTTTCATCCATCTTGTATGGGTATGACAATTGAAGAGGCGAAGAAATTGGACCAGTTTTTGTGCTCTGATTGTTCCTCTGATGATGATGGAAAAGGATCATTGAACTCGTTTCCAATATCACCATCTGCTGAGGCTAAGGTGAGAAGCCATCTATTTTCTATGACACAATTGGCTTTATTAATTGCTATTTTTTGCCTCCTGCCCGGGTTACACTACTATTCAATGCTGTCGATATGGTTGTTTGGTGGTGGTCGTCCAGCCACCATCAGTGAGTCTGTATCTTCTATGCCAAACTAGTCTTGACGTTAAGCTATTTTTATTTTATCTGTGAGCATTGGGTGATTTGGCTGTTCTTGTAACATCTTTATCATAAATTACTTCTTTTAGATCGACACATTTATTTTCATATTGTTCTTTTGATGGTGCATTTGTAGGCCACACAAGTGTGACAATTTCAATTAGGCCATATGACAAATTTTGGCATGGAACTCAGGTATAGGTACCAAAAACCCCATTCCAAAATTGTTGATTTCACCCTAAAATTTGCAAGTAAATACCCCTTGATATTTTGGAAGTTCTTACAATAAAGTTAAAATGGCCAAAGTACCCAAAGTACCCCTGTTCTTAATCCATTTTCATCTTCATAACAAAACAGAAACAAGAAAAACACAAAATTGAGAATAATGACCACAAAAAATGATCTTCATCTTTAGAATAGGAACATACTTTCGTCCGGATTTTGAATTTTGGGTCGCTGGAGACAAATTTATCCTATGGCCTAAACATAAAAATTGACCATCTTTCTATGGCCTTAAAATGCATTAGTATTACCCCTATTCTTTACTGTAAGATGTCATTTTCAAGCTCTGTTAACGTTTATCATCTTCAACATGTCAATCTGCTCATCACAAAAGAAAATGAAAAGGTAAAAAACAAGAACACGAAAGTCAAAAAGACAAATACCATGGTTTCCTATTCCCAGCAGAACGAACATAACTTGCCAGCTATTGTGTATACTCCAAATCATTTTCTGGAATTTTGTTGATGAAAATTTGTGGGTTGTCATTGTTAAAACCAAACCAAAGGCGCCCAGTATATTTCATTCAAAGTAGGGTTTAGGAAGGGTATGAAGTATGCAGATATCAACAGGCTAATGAGACTAGAAAAAGTCTAAAGGTCATTTAGCTGTTTGCTGTTGATTTCTAGAAAATATCTGTGTTCTAAAGGGCTTGCCATGGTTCAAGGCTTGTGTCTCTCGCCATGTACATGATATCCGATTTTTTTTTACCTTTTAGTGTCTTACATTTTAGTTTTATAGTATTTAATATAATTTAAATTGTTCAATAGCATTGACTTGTTAAGTAATAATAAAAAACATATGTATTTATACATAATTATATGTACATGGGTTGGGTTCAGGTGGTCTCACGGGTCTTACGAAAACAACTTGGTCCACAAGATACCAAGTTATATACATATATATATATATACACACACACATGTTTGCTGCCATAAATCATGCTTTGAAAAACGTTGTGGTTTCTAAGGCTTGACCTTGCCGCCATGCCTCGCCTCGCCTCTCCTCATGCCATTTAGGACCTTGGAAAATAGTTGTTGAAAGAATGTATATGTTTGTTGTTTGCAGGTGGAGGTGAAGCGCAGAAAGCGATAGGGGTGGAGTGGTGAAGGAGGTAATAGTTTTCTTTGAGTATTAACTCCAGCAGCCCTTGTTGTTGTTGTTGTGGTTGGGAAGTGTACAGTTCTCGGATCATCATGAAGCCTTTTTTGTTTAAAGTTGTGTGAAATATATCTATCTCTGTGTTTTCTTGATGTATGCTTCAGCTAGACTCTAATGGTCTCTTTTCTCTTGTTACAATCTATAACTCAAGCTTAGAACAACTAACTTAGAGACAATGCAACGTTATCGATCTTCATCTTGTGTTGTTGGTTCGATTTTGTGATTCAGCTTCTAGTTTCTTCTGGTCGGTTCTTCAGCCATCGCTTGATGATTTTGATAACCGAGGGGCCATTTACCAAACTCTTACCGGGTCACTTACCCTATCTTACCGGATTAATGTGGCAAGGGTCCAGAATCTTATTTGGTAAGGAGGCAGACAAGGAACAATAGTCTTACCCGGTAAGGCGGTAAGTGAAGGTGATGAGTCTTACCTTGTAAGATTGTTTCACACGATGCCATTTTTTTTTTATAAGGGTGTCCGGGCCAAAGCCCGACTAATCCCCGGCAAATTTGGAGGCTAAACATGGCCTCACTTAAATGTCGCCAACACTCCCCTCCCAGGGCTCGAACTCGGGTTCATGACTATGCCATGCCCAAGCCTTTACCACTAGGCTGGAAGGTCTTTGACCACGATGCCATTTTGATGGCCAAAAATCTTATAAGGTAAGATTAGTAAGAGTGACGACTCTTATTGATAAGCGCTAATGGCCCCTGAGAATTTGAGATTCAAATATGAGGCTTCCTTAACCTTTTTTAACCCTTCTATGAGTGTCTTTTGGTTAAACTACCTTTTTGTCTGATCCTTTTTAAATCCATGTCCTTCTTAACATAATAACATTACTTTTATAAACATGAATTCTAGAGGGCTGTTGGTTGTTAGAAGTTCATGGATTTAAAAAAGTACTTTTCGAGAGGTCAATTATTGTATAATACAACTTAATGAGCTTGATGGTTTGGGTGGCTTATTCACATCCATACAAGAGTGTCTTTTTAAGGTTTATCATTAAGCCAAAATGGCTATATGAAATAAGCCAAAACCCATCATTTGTCCCAATTATGTCACTTTAAATAAATTAATACAAAGACAACAACACATTTATATCTAAGACAAACAACTTTAACCATATATGATTTAATAACCCCCAAAATGCATGATTTAATAAAAAAAAAAAGTGAAATAATAGGATTTACATCTTATCTTCAATCCATTTGTAGGTGATTTTTGGTTGGTGAAGCATTGAGGAATTGACTGGAGTCAAATGTGACTGTGGCTTTGACTTGTGTGGAAAGAAGAGGCAGCCAGCCACTTTCAAAATGGGTCGACAGAAACGTCAAACTCTGGATTGTTAGAAAAATTTGACCTTTTATTATGGGGTTACATATGAATTTGCCCCCTCGCTATTCCTTTTTTTATATTATTATTATTATTATTATTATTATTATTATTATTATTAGAATGATACTTGTGTAATGTAGCAAGATACATTATTCTTTTTAATGTTTCGTTTTATTTTTTGTCTCTGTTGATGGTTTATGTGACTTTGAGAAAGATAATGTTTTTACTTTTAAATAAAAATAAATTTTGAAAAAATATATCGATATTAATATCAAATTAACTATTTAAAAGTTCACGACAATTTCTTTAATTTAATCTTTTATTATAATTTAATTTAGTTCAAATAGTGAAATAATTTATTTTTGACTTAACAATTAAATTTTTATAAAGATAATGATTCTGTTATAACTAAATAATTATCCTAATTATATTTTAGATTTTCTATATTTAAAATGGATATTTATCTGTAGTTAGTTACACGAATTTAAAAATTAAGCTTTAGTAAGTTGTACTTACGTAAAATTATTTGTAATTTTGAATTTCAAGTAATATGCATTAATAAACAGTACTTCATGTGCATTTAAGTCCGTCACTAGCAGCATCCGAATCGTTAAGATGTAAATTATAATATTTGTTTTTCAAGAGGTACTGAAGTCTAAAATTTTATCTCACTTCTTATTGATATCAGATGATGCTGATATCAAATCGACTGAGAGAAAGAGAGATGAACTCGATCAGAATAGGTTTCAACATATATGATTATGAGGGAGTTAAAAAGCTAAATAAGAAGATGATTTATCTTTTATCATTTTAGATTACAATCAAAGTTTTTCAGTTCTTATTTAAAAAAAAATTAAAATGATAAACCTCTTATCTAATAATACTTAAAAGAGGGCATTAACAAAGAAGCCCTTTAAAAAAGTTATTGGGCGGGAAAATATGTATAATTAAAAAAAAATATATATATATATATATATATATATATATATATATATATATAATTGTTGTTGGCAATGATGAAAAAGTCATGTAATATAATTAACATGTTTGTGACAAGTTTAAAGGTATCTCATTAAATATAATTTATAATTTAAATGGTCGCTAATCAAAGTTTGTGCAATGATTAATGATGGGTTTAGTGATGCTAATATCAACCACTTATCTTAATCACTTAATCTAAGTTGTAATCTATACTATATTATAAAGTATTTGACAAACACTCTTAAAAACATTTTTTATGCATAAAGTAATGTTTATTAATGCATGTTACTTAAAACTCAAGATTACAAGTAGATTGTGCGTAAAGACAACTTATTAAAGCTCCATTTATRAATTCRTGTAAYTAACTGCAGATAAACATAATCAAATAYAGGATAAATATYTCATTTTAAATATAAAAAATCTAAAATATAATTAGGATAATCATTGAGTTATAACATAATACTTAATTATTATATTTATAAAATGTTATATTATTAAACCAAAAATAAATTATTTTATTATTAAACATAAATTAAATTATAATAAAAAAAATTACATAAAAAATGAGAACTTTTAAATAGTTGATTTGATATTAACATTGATATATTTTTCTTCAAATTTTTATGATATCTTCAAATTTATATTTTATTCAAAAATAAAATCATTATTGCTTTCTTAAAAACGCATAAAATCGTATTATAACATCGACAACGACAAATAATAAAATAGAACATTAAAATCGAGATGTGTCTCGTTACATTGCGCGAGTACTCTCCTAGTATTTAAATTATGAATTCAAATCTAAACCTAGAATTATATGATGTCAGATTGTTTTTATGAGATGTGTGAAACTACATAAATTAACATTGAACTTTCACAGTAAAACAGTGCGAATGTAAACCTTTCATAATATTTTATTAATATTGGTATATTAATGAATAGTTTAGAATTTTTTTTAATTTATTTAATATATTTATTAAATAGTTTGAAAGTACATTGCTGTAATAAGAAAAATTAAAAGTACAATCCTATAATAAAAAAATTTATGTAATAGATTGTTTAGGTTCTTTAAATTTAATCAATAAAAGTCAATGGTTTAATATCATCACATCTTTTTCTCATCCTACACGTCCCATATCATATGAAGGTCCAAAAGTGTCCTTGCCCCTTCGATTTCTTCCCCATCTTACCCTTTCTCCTATCGTCTCCACCCCTTATCCTAACAACCGTCTTCCAACACGAAATTCATGGACCCCCTTTCAACTCCTCTCGACCTCCCATACTTTGTTTGCCTCCTATTCCTGCCTTAGCAACGATCACACATACGTTACCACAAACTCTACTCACTTTGACCTTCTGTCTTCTTCTACATCCAATAATCCTAAACACTGGTCGTATCCGAAACTACCATCTTCTTCTCCAATATACCAACTCTGGTCCCCTCTGACTTCGTTTTTTGCTTGTAATATATATATATATATATATATATATATATATCCCAGTCGTATATGCATAATCAACAAAATGGGTGATTTTAAATAAACCTCCTAGTAACCACAAGAGTGGTGTCTGATTGGTTTGAACTTGACTTCAAAGGTCAAAAGTACCAGGAGGTCCTAGGTTCAAATCCAATGAGAAATAAAAATCTTCTTGTGGCCACGGAGGTTCAAATGCGGTGACTTCGGGCTATCTGCAAAGCAGGTGGTCGTCCTAGGATTAGTCGGCTTGCATAGCGAGTTGGATATCCAAGTTAATAAAAATAAATAAAAAAATAAACCTCCTAGTTCTTTTTAGGTACATAGTGTTCTCTAATTTTACTCAAAAAGGGATTCGAACAGTAATTTTATTTAGCGACAGAGGTTTTTCAGAAAATTACGGATAAAAGTAATCATATATTTGGTTCCATCTCATCCCATTAAATTAAACAAGCATTAGCATTATTATTTTTATACCTTAATTAATCCCAACTCCTTCTCACTCTTCCCTTGGTCAGACGCCATTGTTTCTCTCTCTAGAAATTGATTTTGAATTCAAAGAAGAATAAACTTTAGGTTTTCGAAAGCACACAGAAACAACTAACCACCCTCTTCTCTGATTGCTCTAGGGTTCCTTTTATAATCTGTTCACCACTTCTCCCGTTGAATTCATCATCATCACTGTATTCGTAACTTCTTCCTTTGACTTCATATGGTCCAGGTTCTGTTTTCTCTTTTCTGATTCCAAGCTCAGCATGATTCGATTGAAGTTGAAAACCCCTCAAATTTCATTTCGTTTTGACTCTCACAGACTTTAAGCTTACAGCGATTTCCGTGTTAAAGGTACGAGCTATTATTTGTTAGGGTTTTGAAGTTTGAATTGGTATGGTTTTTGAAATGAATGTAGTTTGGGGTATTTTGAGGTTGAAACTTTGATTGATTGGAGAAAAAGGGGTTTAACGCTTGTTTTCCCGGGGAAGATGATTAAGCAAATACTAAATAAGCTTCCTAGGAAGCCATCTTCGAAATCCTCACACAATGATGAAGGGAACAATGCAATGGATTCTGCTGCTATAAATTCGACTGGTATGGGTGTTAATGGCGGTTCTAAGAGCAATTCATCGTCTGGTAGAAGCTCCAATTTGAGTTCGTCTAAATTGAATGATGAAGCTAGTAAGAAATTAGGTACTCTTGGGGCGACCCAGGTGGTGCAGGCATTGAATCATGCTTCTTATGAAGCATTGCCTAGTTTTCGAGTTGTATCTAGTTCAGAAAAACACAATCTATTCATCAAGAAGTTGAATATGTGTTGTGTAGTGTTTGATTTTAGCGATCCGTCCAAGAATTCCAAAGAGAAAGATGTTAAGAAACAGACATTGCTCGAGCTCGTTGATTATGTTTCATCGGTTACCTCAAAATTCAACGAGGTTACAATGCAAGAAATGACGAAAATGGTGGCTGCTAATTTGTTTCGATCTTTGCCAAATGCTAATCACGATAACAAGCTTCCGGATTTATATGATCAAGAAGATGATGAATTTAGTATGGATCCATCATGGCCACATCTTCAAGTTGTCTATGAATTCCTTCTTAGGTTTGTAGCTTCATCAGAAACAGATGCTAAACTTGCCAAAAGATATATCGATCATGCTTTCGTGTTGAAATTGCTTGATCTCTTTGATTCCGAAGATCAGAGAGAAAGGGAGTATTTGAAGACAATCCTGCATCGTATATATGGAAAGTTCATGGTTCATCGTCCGTTCATCAGGAAAGCGATCAACAACATCTTCTATCTCTTCATTTTTGAAACTGGGAAGCACAATGGGATAGCTGAATTGCTTGAGATTTTGGGTAGTATAATTAATGGGTTTGCTTTGCCTCTGAAGGAAGAACATAAGCAATTTCTTGTTCATGCTTTGATCCCACTCCACAAGCCCAGATGTTTGTCGACATACCATCAGCAACTCTTGTATTGTGTTGGTCAGTTTGTCGAGAAAGATTTCAGGCTGGCGGATACGGTGATTAGAGGATTACTGAAATATTGGCCCGTAACTAATAGTTCGAAAGAGGTGATGTATCTTAGTGAATTGGAGGAGATTCTTGAAGCTACACAGGCTGCGGAATTTGAACGGTGCATGGTCCCTTTGTTCCGTCAGATCGGATACTGCCTCAATAGTTCGCATTTCCAGGTACCACATTTAGGCCATGTTTGACAATCACGAGCTAACTTATTTTGAGCTTGTTGAAAAAGCCCGTTGGTTAGCCATAAGCTAGCTTTTTGAAAAACTACTTCATCTAGCTTTTCATCAAACTCAAAAGAGGTTTTTTTCACTTTTTGCCAATAATTTCCGTTATATTTTTCCAATTAATTTTCCAGATAGATCATTTTACGTTGCATCCATCTTTCCAACTAGTTTTTACTAAACATTAATAATTGGTTGTTTGGTTGTTTTCCATTAAGTCATGTATGAATAAAGTATGTTGGTGTGGATTAATCTCTTTGTATAGATTAGGAAGGTTTTTGTTTGTGTGTATTTCTTTCATAAATGGAAGGAGCATGTTTTTTAATTGGGAGGGGGCAAGTTTGAAAAAACTTGGCTTTTTTGCATAAAGCTCCCCCTAGAAACTTACTGGATAAGCCACTTTCTATATCGTTAAGCAGTACCAGATAGTCATGCATAAGTGACCGAATAAGCTGTGAGTCCCATCAAACTCATTAAGCTACTAACAAACATGCCCTAATTTAGCTGTCAACTAGTTTGCCCTTATGCGTTTTACCTTGTTTGATGTTGATGAATTTGGCATTGACTTAGAGTGGTGGAATTTGGCTCTGATATCATGTGAGACTATGTGGGACCCCATTAGATTACTTTCCAAAAGAATCGGGTTCCAATATATCTTGAAGAGAAATGATCCAAGTCTAGTTGACGGGAACTCCAACATAATCCATTTACACTTGTATCAGTAACATGTGAGACAGATCCATTCAAATGTATACGATGATTTCTTTCCGTGTGGTCGTAGGTGGCAGAACGTGCATTATTTCTATGGAATAACGAGCATATAAGGAATCTAATAACTCAAAACCGCAAAGTGATTCTGCCCATTATCTTCTCACCTTTGGAGAAGAACACACGAGGTCACTGGAACCAAGCCGTTCAGAGCCTAACGTTTAATGTCCGGAAGATATTTTCAGACGCTGACGAATCGCTATTTGAAGAGTGCCTAGTGAGGTACCAACAAGATGAAGCCAAGCAGAAGGAAAGCCTCGCAAAGCGACAGTCAACCTGGAGCCGCCTGGATACCATAGCTGCCGCTAAAGCTTTGAGCATCGAGTCTGTGGTCATCTCAAGGTTTGCCTCGTCTGTCACCATGACCGCCGCCGCCGCCGCCACCACCACCACCACCACCACCACCGCTATTTCATGAACTGGTGCCAGTTGAATTTACCATCATTGATCAAGGTTGACTTTTGCAGAAAGGCACTTGATTTGATCTTGAAAGCTTGGGGTTAATATGAAGGTTTTACTCTTTGTATCTCATTTTGTTTTTGTTTTTGTTTTTGGTTCATTCCTTGTGTGTTGTATGGTCTTGGAGGTGTTTGTGATATAAAATTATTGTTAAAAAATGAGTAGAGGTTGTCATTACACAAGAATCGAAACTTCAGGGCCGTTTACCCAATTGCTTACCCGTTAAACGCTTACCGATAGGAGTCAACACTATGATTTATTTTGATACGTAAGATTTTAGTATATCAAAACATATCGAATGCAAAAACTTACTGGGTAAGCGCTTACCTGCGTAAGAGTCGTCATCCTCACTTACTGGGTATGACACTCCATCATTCTCATCGCTCTTACCCGGTAAGATTTTTGGCACTTCTCATGTTCATTCGATGAGGAAATTTATTCGGTAAGCACTTACCAAGTAAGTCTTGTAAACGGCCCCTTCATGGTGTTAGCTTAACTGACAGTAGGGCTTGGACTTGGCGATACTCCGTAGAGGTCAGCGGTCATGTCCTGCAGGGTTACTGGGATTTTCCTGGCTGTTCTCTAGGACCTATGGAATTAGTCGAGATATACGTAAACACAGTGGTTAAAAAAAGAAAAAAGAACCAAAACTTCCCCCTTCTCGTGTGAAGGTCTCCCTTATATCATTCACATTCATAAGGGTGCGTTTGTTACCCTGATAGAACGAGACAGTTGTTTGGCGTTTGGTAGGACATGATTGTATGTTAAAGAGTTGAACAGTGAAAATAGATGACGAGTGTCTGGTCGAATTGATCGGGTCATGTAGGAACGAGGAAGTCTACCGATCTGTTAAGATGCATCAGCTGCATATATCACTGCATTTTCACTTGACACCTATCGTAATGATAAACAACTCGTCTCGTTGTGACCTCTTGAATTCTCAAAACTTTTGTCGCTCCGTCCCTGCAGGGGCAGAAAATCCATTGCTGTCTCCGATAAGACTAGTAAAAATGATTAATTTACTCCTAAAGAGTTTATTTTATATTTTATATGTTTGATTAATTATAGAGTGAATTACATTGGTGGTCCTTTGGTTTGTTCAAATTTTGGATTTGTTCCCTAAAACAAATTATCTACACTGGTGGTCCTTAACTTTTCATTTTCATAACATCCATGATCCTTCTACTTAACGACGTTAGTTAGCAACTGTTATGAAGGACTAATCGGTCTTTGAACAAACTATAAGAACCAAAAGTGTAATCTGCTATAAAATTTAATGTGATTCACGATTTTTTTTAATTTTTATTAGAAAATATTTATATATCTCATTATAAATCAAGTATCTTAAGTTAAAATACATATTAAATATTTATATTATTGTAGTGATGATTTTTTTTAATTATTTGAATAATTAGTGTTTTTAATCTTATTCTTAATCTATAATTTTTGTTTTGTTGTTATTCTAATTATTTGTAGTTTGACCATAAATTAATAATCTCACGTTAATCGAACTTAATTTTCAATATTTTGTTTACATATTTTAATTCTTAACCCAAAAAATATGAGACTCTATCTTGATTTACCTTTTTTTTTCTTTTTTTGTAACTTAGAGGCCGTTTACCAAACGCTTACTCGGGTAAGTGAACATTAAGTCACATTACCTTACCGGATGAATATGGTAAAGACCAATAATCCTACCCGGTAAGAGCGAGACAAGTGCCAAGAGTCTTACCCGGCAAGTGAGGGCGATGACTCTTACCACGATAAGCGCTTATCAGGTAAATTGTTGCATATAATACCGTTTTGATGAACTAAAATGTTAACTGGCAAATAAATGACAGTGTTAAATATTACCGATAAGCGTTTATCGGGTAAGTGTTTGATAAACGGCCTCTTAGTGAATTTTAGACTCCAATTTTTGTGATATTTAATATTTATTTTTTATTGCATCAATTAATTTTTTTTTCTATTAAATTGATTTTTTTGCATTAGTAAAAACAATTTTTATTGTGGTAATTTGGATATTTTTTATAAAATGTTCAATTTGATATCTGAATTAAAAAAAAACAAGATTTGAAATGAAAAATAGATTTTATTGCATTAATTTTTGGAAAAAAACGAATTTTAGTTATTTTTCTATAAGCATTTTACAAGTTGATTCCCCAAAACAAGAATCAGGTACAAGTTGGTTCCCCAAAATGACGATTTTGAAAGTTAGTTCCCCAAAATATGAATTAAGTGAAAGTTGGTTCCATTTTGGTGTAATTTTTTTTGTGAAATTTAATAGTTTTAAATAAATATTTTTATTAATATGTACATTATATTAAGAAATTTGATTTGTGATTTTAATAATAAAATATTAAAAAAAACGGTGTATCATATTAAATTTTAGAATATATTACACTTTGGTCCCCATAGTTCGTTCAAAGACCGATTAGTCCTTTATAAAAGGTTGCTAACTAATGTCGTTAAAATAAGGGACTATGATTCTTATGAAAATGAAAAGTTATGGACCACCAATGTAGAAAATTTGTTTTAAGGATAAAATCCAAAATTTGAATAAACCACAAGGACTACTAGTGTAAGTTACTCCTATTTAGATATAATTTATTAAATTATAATAAAATAAATATTTTTACAATAAAAATATCATTAGAAAGTTTTCGTTAAGATGATTAAAATGACACTAAAATAATAAATATAAAATTTATTAATTTTCATATTTTATTTGATACCTTTTATATATTATTTTATTCTTATTAATATTTAATAAATTATATAAATTTATCAAAATATAAAAACATATAAAAATAATGTTTTAGGATGATAAAATGAATGTTTAAAGAGAATAAAATAAAATAAATAAAATTTAAAAAAATGAATAAAATGTAAAAAAATAAATGTATTTGATGTAAAAAAAACTCATTACAGGTAAATTTGTCATTTTACTAGATGACACATCTATCAGAATTAATAACTCAGTATATAAAGTATACACGATGACACATCTATTAAAATATTTTGAAACATTTTAAACCATCGATACAATAGACTCACTCGTGGAATTGCTTTTATCGAGCATATTTGCAATTACTTGAATCTCAAAATTAGGAATGATACACTTACAATTTGGGACAACTTCAAGAAAAGTTGCTCGATTATACAGCTGTTCTTGATATAAGATAATTTAACCATTATTATTAAAGATATTGACATATGTTTATTGTATTTTTCAGGTGTTTTGAATTAACTGCATTGTGTATAGTTGACACTATTTAGTTTGTATCTGTTTGGGTTGATCATGTTTTAAACTTTGGAAATCATACAACAATTAGAGTTGAAAGCCGACATTCCAAATTAAAATTAATTTTTTGGAGACGCCACGAGCAGACTTACAATTTTTTTTATCTCATATTCATCACGTAATTCAGTTAAAAGACAGATTGATCAAAACAAGTTTTAAATATGGTAGAACTATAAGGAAACATCGATTTGGAACAACACACTTTCAAAAATTGCACTTGTTATGATTTTCAGTTAATATGAGCGGTCTTTCGATACTAGTGTATTTTCTGAAAATTATGATAGTAAACTGCATACAAGTCATGGGTTGCCATGTGCGCATGAACAAACATTGTGTACATGTCAATGTGTATCCATTCCACCTGATACGATAAATATATTTTGGAAAAAACTTGATTTCTCGTCATGTGTTTCCACACAAGATGAAGATATTCAATGTGGTTCTTACTATAATTATGATTATAATTATATTAACGTGGTTCATCGAAATTAATATAATTATATAAATTAATTAACGTTATATTATAAATTAGAGGGGAAAATGGAAAAATTATAATATAAAATTAATTAATTTATATGATTATAGTATAGATTCAATGTGGTTCATCGGAATAAGTTTCGTCGTAGAGAGGTAAGAGGAGAAATGAGAGAGAATATTTATAAAATCTCTAAAATGCTCTTAATTAACATTTTAAGTTAAAATTACCAAAATTATTAATTTCCTAATTTAACCTTTGATTTGTGGTTGAGACGGTTACCACAAATAAAACAGTTCTCATTTGATTAGGCCCCTATATGTATTATTAATTATTAAGTATGTATACATCTAACTTTTTTTAAAGTATATAAATTGGTATAATAAAAGAAAAAATGAAAGTATAATATCACAATAAAAAACAATTTAAAAATATATTGTTGTAATAAGAAAAAACGAAAATATAATGTCATAATAGAAAACAATATAAAGTATATTGTTGCAATATAGGAGTAAATTACTATGTCCAAACCCTGTGGTTTTTATTATATGTTTGGTTCTTGTACTTGAAATGATCGAAATGCCCTCTTAATTAACCTATTTATTAGAAAATCCAACGGATTTAGATACATATATATATATACACACACATACATATATACCAGTGGTATACCCGCAAGATGCAGCTCGTGTGAATCACAATTCTGAAACATTAGTTTATCCTTAAATTATATTTTGTGTGGTTATTTTGCAAGTCAACTAATATATAAAATTGAAGGTTAATACGGTGTATTAACAAGATCGGATGGAAAAATAATTGCATACGTATTGAGTTTCTAAACCCATATACTCAAAACTCATTACACAAATTTGAATTTAAATTTAGTTGAAGTCTGAGAAAACTTCCAAAAACTGAGACCATGAAACATTTTTGGGAAGATGGGTGTAAAGCTAAAAAGGGGAGGAAATAGAGATAGAAAGAATAAAGCAAAACTAAGACTTTCGATTTGGGTGATATTGATGGTGTTGTATTTAAAACTTGTACATCATGCTTTATGAGTTATAATTAAGAGATTTTTGAAATTTTGCATAAAATAATTGTACCTTGTGCTTAAATACTTGAACTTAAGACTTTGGTTTAAATGSTTATTAATGTAGTGTGTGTATGTGTATGTGTGTGTGTATATATATATATATGGATCTAGAATAGGAAAATTTATAAAAATAACCATTTTATACAACCTTTTGCCACAAAATAACAGAGTTTTAGAGGTTTTACGTTTTTGACCACCCAGATCTACCCTAAGGGCGATCCGTACACATATGGGGCGATCCGTACTTTTTTGGGGCGATCCCAAATAGAATTCTAAAAAAATAAAAAATT